CTTCGGTGTCCGATCCAGCTCCACTTCGGTATTTCCGCCGCAGGGCTCGTCTCCTCGCCGTCATTTTTGTAGTTACTACTACTGTTATCTTCTTCGTCGTCTCTAGATTTTGGACCATCACCTCGGTCTACGGAGGTGGCGGATTCCTTGCGTAGTCGATCTGCAAGGGAGCGAGGACGTCTGCGGTTGTGTCCTTCCGGCGGCTGGTGTTCGGGTCGGCGATGGTTCTCGGCGCTGCTTTCGTCCTCGCCGATGAGTCGGAGATACCACGCCCTGCTTCAGGTTAGCGCGGAAGGGATGGCTGTCGATTTACCTAACGCATGCTAATATCTAGCAATCCGTCCAAGTATAAGACGGAGAGCTAAAGATGCAGAATTTGACAGCTAGTAGAGGGCAGGGAAGGCAAAGGTAAAAGGAAAGGGGAGATACGATAGCGGGGAAACGCGGGGATGACTCGGGTTTACTGACCACTCCTTAAAGGTGTACTTGCGCGGTGGCGAGTGCCGCAGGTGCTTAGTCACACGGGATATCTCGTCGATTAGGACGAGGTGGTATTCGGCGCGGGATTTGGGGAGTTCGGTAGGCAGGTTTTTACGGGCTACGGAGGCGGAGCGTCTTGGTGACCTTGTCTTTGGGTTTTTGGCGGGCCGGGATTTGGGTATAGGTTGCGATTTATTAGGATGTGATTTATTAGGAGTTTGCTTGGTTGAAATGTTTAGCGGCGGTGACGTTGGCGGTGACGTTGGCTGTGATTCTCCATTTTCGGCGTCCTTACGGGCTCTCCGGTTGCTTTCTGCATTGTTGATATCAATTGAATGGGAAGTCCTTTCTTCATTTTCCTCCTCATCGTCGTCATCTGTGTGCTGCTCATGCACTGCTCCTAAAAAGCCTGGGGCTGATTCTTCGATATCGTCGTCCATAAACAGTACACCGCAGGACAGTTTTGACAGCAACTGCTTCATTTCATTCTTGAAGCCATGTTCTCCAGGCAAGATTGTAAGGTTTCCGAGTAAAAGGGTACCGTCTTTAACACCCTTTACGATCGTGTCTCCCGCGTTTGATATAAGAACAGTCATAGTGGGCAAGGCGAGCAAGGACCAGAATACGAAGAATGCCTTAGCCGAGTTCGACACTGGGGTGAGGTCACCGTACCCGATAGTTGTTAATGCGGTAAATGAGAAGTAGAAACCATCAAAGTAGGACCATCCTTGATAGGGGTACTCGCACTCTTGGAAAATCTTGGCACCCACGAGCCAGAGCAGCAACCAAGTAATAAAAGATATTATCATAGCGGTCCACCTTTCTCTTTTTGATGCTCTGCGATATGTTAGTATCATAGGCCGGTGCATAGATATGTACTATCTTAACATATTCACATATTAGGGGGAAAAATAGGAGTCCTTGACATGAGAGAATGTGTAGGAAAGAAGGGTTGACCACTTACTACCCCGAATTAGCATATCGATAGAATTAAAAATAATAATAGGAAAGGGTGAGGGAGCCCCTAGGGGCCCCGAATAAACTGTACATACCTGTCGTTGGACCTTGCGCATGAGTTGAAATTCTTTCTGCCGGCGTTCAAATTCTGACCATCGGGTATTCGAAGCGAATGTATCTGAAGCATCGCCGTCGATCGGTTCAAGGACACCGCCGTGCCCTTTCCGCAAGACGCGTCGTATTAATAACCGGCGTTCCCTCTCTAACATACGTGCATCGAGCCTATGCTTGCCGCGATCAAGAATCAAGCTCCGGATAGATCCAATTACCAAACCGAGGCTGATGACACCAATCAGCGCGTATGGAACGAGGAGGCCACGGCCGAGGCTAGTCTGCGGGGATATTTCTCCGAAGCCAACTGTGAAGAGAGTGACATCGGCCCAGTATACAGAATCAAGGTAATTCCAACCCTCAATCTTAGAGAAGATAAAAGCACCTAAGAGTAGATAGACGAGGAAGAGGATAGTCTGAAGCATCAAAGTCCTCTGGCTGGTTGTCAACTCGAAGTCCTTGCCATAATGCCCGGTTTGAGCGCCCCAGACCGTGATAACCATAAGAGAGGCCACTATGAAGTAGATGATAGCTGCGAACAAGCCGTAATAGAAGGCTTGGGACCAAACGTATTCAACCTGTGGCTGGAGATCTAACGGCCCAGATGCTGTAGCGCACAGGGCTATGAGACATATTGCTGATATGTACCAACCAGCTATCGTTATAGGTTGCGCGATCGAAAACCGCACCCTCTTCGTCATGTTTAGCAGGAGAAACACGTTCGCAACTATAGCTAGAGCTAGTTGGACGGCATTCACTACTGTTAGCCATAAAGGGTCCTTGACGTATACTGCTTTAGTAACGTCAGACCCTGGAGGAATATGTTGTCTCCAATACTTGACAAGCGAACAGATACTGAAAGCCGAAGCAACAGGACCTAGGGTGCCTGCTATCATGGGGAATGCGGCTGACGCAAACCACCAACGGCTATGAGTTTATGTTAATGAGACTTGACGTTTCGAGTAACAGACACGCTGGGTTTCTTACCTAGGATCGAGATGAATTTGGTCATTCATGATACCTCTATCCCCAACCTCATCATGATTTAAGCCGTCGACAGCTTGTGACTGTTCGTCAATGTTATTATTGAGGTCTGCGTCCTCCATCTTGATGAGCGAGAGAGCAGGCGCTTGCTCATATCTTAATCATAGGTATATGGCCTGCCTTACATAGTTGTCAACTGGATACCTAAGACTAAAATTGACTTCTTCTTTACTGCAGGTTGAAATAAGGAGCGCCGAGTATGCTCTCCCACATTTTAACTCTGAGGTAGGCAGATATGATATTTATGAGAATATACACGGCGGAATAAGAATAGATACTATGTATAATATATATAGTAGACAATGGAGGGTCAGGCGCATGTCTTGACATGGACGTTTATGTGGTATGACGTCGCTTGGCATCGGGATCGCGAAGCTAAGCTTTGCTAGGACCAGGGGGAGATAAACCTGTTACTAGAATATGTAATACATATAATCCGCATGTTCGGGAGAAATATGCGACAACCGATCTCGTACCACCTTAGGTAATTTTTATCGCTTGGCGCGTAAAAAACAATCCTTTTGATTCTCATTGCATTATTTATTACTTTTCTACCACGCATAATCCAAGTCACGCTTTTGATAACGCCGATGCAGAACTGCACCTGAAATTATACACATTTCAAAGGAGTCGCAGAGGGAAGATGAAAATATGGATTCCGAGTAGGAGTTCGATATTTGCTGGCCTTCGCGGTCACAAACCGAGGCGCTATAGCGCTGTTACCAACAGTGTAGAACGAGTGAATGTTTGTAGCGGCTCATCAGGCGATATAGCCATTGAGTAAGTACCTTCTATAAAATGCATGCATACCTAGGTAGTAATCGGATTTGTTAAGTCTGACCTATACATAAATGAGCAGTCTGTACAATATCGAGGAGTTGTCGTCACAAAATCACTTATTGGTGTATCTACCACCATTTTCACCAGCCTTCACAGGTGAACCTGTCCAGTTGCCAAAATTCCTCCAGAGGCAGCCAACGGCTGTGATTAACTACCGCTGGTATGGCTTTCCTCCCATCTATACTAAAAAGACCGTCGCTTCAGCATCTACGGGTGGATCGGACAAGGAGAAATTATCTCCTATCTTACACTGGCCAACCCCTATTCATGACGCTTTAATCGGCTACAGCTGGATTGTCAAAAATCTAGGTCCACCAGAGGATGTACGTCGAAACGTATACCTCTACGGCTCATATCTTGGGGCATCTCTGGCAATGTCTCTTGCTCTTACGGAAGCCCATCCCAACGAGCGGATGGCTGTTCAGGGATGCATAGCCTTGAACGGGATATACAACTGGACTAAGTTCCTCCCGGATCACCCCATTAATAATCCACCAAAGCCATATCGGACCTTGGGAAGAATCACACCCCGCCAGTACGATCTCCACTTCCAGCAGCTGAAATACTGTGTCGAGGTATTATTCGCAAGTCCAAGTGGCCTCTTCGACCCGTTTGCAAGCGCTACTATGTTCTTTCATAGCCCTCCCCTTCTCGTGCCACCAGACTTTACCACATCGGCTCTCTCCCCCAAAGCATCGCCCCTAGCGAATGTATCTTTACCGGACCCAACGACGGGTGAGCCAAGGTTAGTCCTAAAGCATCCTAACAAGGGCCATCTCATCTTCCCACCGAAAGAATTTCAGCTGGAAATCCCCGCGACACTACTGCTCCACACTGAGCCGCCCCCGTTATGGCACTCACACTCAAAAATGCCCCCTAAGTGGAATGAGAAGAAGGGGGAGATGGAAAATAATTTTAAAACCCAGGCCAAAGAACTAGCAACGTTCATGCGTGGCAGTATTGATAGGATTGAGCTAGGAACAATGTTCTCGTGGGACGATGACTACGAGAAGTGGGTGGACGACACTGTTGGGAAGGTTCAGATTCATGATGTAGGGCCCAATCCTAGGAAGTATGAACTTACTGAGAGAGGGGAGGAATTGGCTGCGACTTGGCTACAGGATAAAATTAGTTAGTAGGTGCAAGCACATAAATCTCGGCTCCTATGCGAATATCTGCACTAGATTCCATACTTGGTCCTAGCATATAATCGCCACTCGTAGATGAGTCCTCTGGCGTCGAAAGGGGGGACTCGACGTAGTTATTGTGCATGTATAGGTACCTACCTACACAGCGTCAGGCATACTTTGATACCTAGGTATTCATTCGAAGTAAATAAGGATTCTATTTGTCCACTTGCTAAAACAACAACAATGCCATTGTCAGCAATATCGCCCTAATGTAAGTCAACCAACCAACATGCGCTAAAAAGTGCATGTAGGTCTAAACCCGCCCCCAAGTCTCCGCCGCACTAACCCCTCTAGATATAGCTCCCCATACCTTAGCACCTAGCGCTAAGCCTAACCTATATAACGCTGTATAACGGCCATTCTTTCAACAACTACTAGGGTCTGATGGTCTAGTGGTAGGATTCTCGCTTTGGGTTCATTCGACATGAGTTCAAATTGCGAGAGGTCCCGGGTTCGATCCCCGGTCAGACCCTGCTTTTTGCAATTTACATCTTTTTGTATATGTTAGCAATAGCATAACTGATGGATTAACGCTGGGAAAAAATGCTACCTCTTTTTGCTTTGCTTTGTGGACGGATGAATTGGCGGGATTGGCGGGATTGGCAATTAATTGTGTCGATGCTACGTGATTGACATGGTTTCATGCAGAATACCCGGAGCGCTTTGTGGGGTAGAGACATCCATCTATCAACGATCGCCTTTGGGCTCGATTCTTAGAATTGAGCTGCTTTATACGTTAGTGCGTTGACCAGGTATTCAATCAAATATTCTCAGGTTTAGTGAGCTTTTATATATCTTTCGCATTAACAAACGTTCTGCCATAAATTAGTTTGCTTATCGCTCTTCACCGTTTGGCACGTACTTGCAACATATCAAATAACATCACAATCTACATCCTAGCTATCGTGCAACCTTCCAAGACCATAGTCTTTTTAATAGAGGTATATATATATATACATATTCTCTTCTAATCAACATATAAGGGTATATATAATACAGATAAACCGTAGTTTTCAGCTGCTTTCCTAAATATCCATTCCATGCTATATGTCCACGTCGTATATAAGTGTATATGTGTACCTTACGCATGTATATATATATTCATCTAATTGGCACTTTCATCCGTAAACCATATTGTATCGCATGATATCTACCTTGTCTACCTCTAAAATGCGCAACAGTAGGAAATCCTCTTGTATGAGATGAGATAGGATATGATGCAGGTGTGTACCTAGGTAGGTACCTATCTATGCGTGCAAGTGTATGCAACCCGCCCCTCTACCTCCACGCCCACCATGCTTTCTTCTTCTTCTCATTGTACCCCTCCTCGCGAACATTGTGCTGCCCGACGATCGTTAAGAACACCTGGTCGAGCGTCGTCGGCGTGCATGAGAAGTGCTCGATGCCGAGCTCCTCCTTATGCTCCTCCAAGATCACGATGAGCTGACCGACTGCGCTGCCGGTGCCTGTTATGGTGCTTGCTGGTATAGAGAATCGCATTTGTCCGTGGTACGTCTTTTGCTCTATATCTGCTCCCGGCCATTTGCCTGCGACCCATTGCCTCACCCGCTCCATCTCCTCGGGGGTTGAGTGCGGCGCCGATTTGCTGACTAGATGCACGTGGAGGGCATCGCCGAAACGCTGACGTAGATTCTCTGTGGTCCCCATGGCGAGCATACGCTTCGCTAGTATACCGGCACGGTTCGCGAGCGCGTCAGCTTCCTCCATACTATGCGTGGTGAGAAGGATGGATCGACCGGGTACGATCGAGTGTAATGTCCGCCACATTATTCGCTTAGCTGCCGCATCTAGGCCAGAAGAGGGCTCATCGAGAAGGACAACACTGGGATTACCCATCAAAGCGATACCGAGAGATAGCTTTCTCTTATTTCCGCCGGAAAGCGCATGCGCCATACGAGTCGAAAAGGCCTCGAGACCCACGGCGCGAAGAACAGCCTGAACGTTGTGGTCGACGTCAGGGATACCCCTAATCCGCGCGTAGAAACGTAGATGCTCGAGGACCGTCATCGAGTCGATAGCATCAAATTGAGGACACACACCCAAGTGGGACCGAGCTTCAGCACGACGACGACTCACAGACGTATTCTCGACGAGAACATCACCTCCATTGTAGCTAGGCTGGATGTCCCCGCGGATCAACGAGATGGTCGTAGACTTTCCAGCACCATTGGGCCCCAATAGCGCAAAGACCTCGCTATGCTGGACGCCGAACGTGACATTATCAACAGCAGTATTTTTACCGAACGTCTTTGTCAAGTGTAATACCCGGAGACCGTCACTCTCCTGAGGCGTGCTAGTTACGCGGACGAGTTCGTTGGCGATTTCTTCATCCGAAGCAGCAGGGTCATTAGAGGATGGCGGTGTCTTCTGTGTGAAGCGGTTGAGTAGACTACTTCCTGACCCACTGTCGTGCCATAGTAGGTAACCGAATAGGAGGATCGACTGTATAATCAAGTACAGAATTGGACCACCATAAGCAGTTATAGCAGCCGGGTTGCTCTGTATTTGATCCCCATCGCACGTTACCGAGAAGAGGTTAAGGGTGATAAACATCGTTCGAACGACCGAGCCGATAGGGACAAATGCCGATATAACGAAATGGGCAATTAATATAGACGAGTCAATAAGGATAACCGGCGAGTATGTGAGGACGCAAAGGTACGCAATCAAGTAGATCAGAAACCCGACTGCCTGACCGGCTGCCGAGAAAGCATATGTCGATAGCTGATTGTTGCTGAATAGAGATATAACGTATGAGAGCAAAGTAGACGCCAAGCCGTATAACATGAAAATGAGGAAGAGGTAAGGGACGTGGTACCAAACATCAGAAGATGCAGCAAATGCGGCGGTAGCAAGTCCAGATGAGACGATGACAATTGCAAAGTCGAATAGCGTATAAGCAGCCCAGAGCGGCAGCGAGCGAACTCCGTTCGAGTACTGTAATCCTCGGACGTTTCGACGTCTCTCTATGTTTGGGTATAGGCCAAAGAAGGCGGGATATATAGACATGGCCAAACAAAAGTAGATCAGCAGCTGCAGAGAATCTCCAGTTGACGGCGCCCAAGGGGTATCGAACGGCGCGTAGGTCGTGGCAATGCTAGTGTTAGCTAGCATGGTATCTAAAGCATTCAGAGCAAAGACTGAGGTAAGGACATCTCCGCTATCTGCTTGGTAGAAAACAGTAGGTACAGAATTGGCATCCCCAAGCCACCACCCACCGGGTGTAATGTTCTTTCGCATCGTTACGACGAAATTATTAAACTCATCTATCGAATCTACCAGATGTAAACTCTCCATGAACGACGTAAGTGGATTGATCGCTGCCCCGGTCAGATTATCGGCTCTGATATGGAGCTGGCTCAGGGTCTGGTTCTGGCTTTCACTTAGGAGGACAGGAGCGAAAAGCCTCTGGACCGTCTCATTGCTGAATTGTGAAGACGGACCGGCGACTAACCACAGGTTATCATATAGACTCAAAGAACCAGATGAATCAACATTCATTTGATTGGCCGGGCTACATCCCACTGGGTGTTGATCCGCGACGTAGAGAGCGGTCAAAGCTGCTGCTATTATTGGGATTAGGAAGGCCGCCACGTAAGGGAACCAGTTTGTCTTAAAGATAGTGCACCGCTTCATGAACAGAACCCCCGTCTGCCTCAAATAGCCGATTGGATGTCCTGACAGCAATTCTAATCTATCCTTCTCGAGCTCGCTTCCAATACTATCCTCAGCGCCTACTTGCGTGTCGCTAGCAATTTCAGCCGAGGATGAGCTCTCTGCTTGTCGTATGGCATGCTCGCCTCTGACTTCTTCAGCGACCTGTAGGAAGACATCTTCGATAGTGGGGTTAGAAAATTTGTAGTCGTAGATTCCTGCAGACTCAAGAGAGCGTATGACGTCCGCAGCAAGGCTAGACGTTGGCGCAATATAGCTGATCACATCGAAACCTATCTTGCGGGTCACGTTTTCGATTTCTGGCGGATTCTTGATCTCTCTGGCGTTGAATACATGGACCCGATATCCGGCACCTAACCTCTCTTTGAGTTCGACAGAAGACCCTTGGGCACGCAAAGTACCCTTGGAGAGGATAGCAATATGATCGGCAAGCAGATCAGCTTCGTCAAGGAAATGGGTAGTGAGAATGATGGTTCGTTTTCCACGCTCAGCTAAAAGGATGTCCCAAATTTTGCGCCGGGAAAGAGGGTCAATTCCAGACGAAACCTCGTCAACACAGCAGACGGCGCTCCCACCAGTTAACATCATTCCAAGCTGTAGCTTTCGTTTCTGACCACCTGACAGGGTTTTGGATAAGGCTTTAGCTTTTGGCGCAAGGTCCACCGCCACCACCAAGTCGTTGATCTCCTGTGAAGATGCAATGTTATTAGGGGACTTCAGCTTGTTGAAGACCCGGATGTGTTCTTCGACGGTCAACTCATCCCATAAGACATTCTTCTGCGGCGCAATACCCAGCCCTCCTGTTCCATCGATTGTAATATCGCCACTAGTCATCTTACCAATTCCAGCAATCGAATCGAGCGTCGTACTCTTTCCGCTACCGTTAGCGCCGAGTAAGGCTAGTATTTGGCCTCGTCTCGCGGTGAGTGTCAGCTTATCAACGGCCACAACTGGATCCCTTGGCGCCGATTTAAAGGGAAGTAATCGGCTGAGGAAACCGGGGTAGTAGATTTTCGTGAAGCCCTCCAAGCGAACGGCATCAGCCGGTGCTGTATCTGCGTTTTGCCCTTGAAGAATCGTACGCCCTTTCGTGGTCGTGCCGTGGAGCGTCCGTTCGAGATAAGCCCCAATGGCGGGATAGACAATAATCTGAATAGCGAGGAATATCCAAAAAACATAACCAGGTATGTTCCATGGATTGTTAGGGGGGTTCGTCAATAAATCAGCCGGATATGATAACCTTTCATATCGCGCTATATATGTCATAAACCATACAAAGTTACAGGGTGTCTATGATAGCGCAATATTAGCGATTATCCATCTAGAGTTCAGATGACAAGACAATCGACGGGGAAATAAGTAACTCTAAGAAAAATACGTACGAAGAGTAAACTCAGAACTGCGACGGTGGCAGTACTAGGCGACGTCAGAGTTTGGGCTAAGATTGCTAGCAGGATATACGCTATCGTCGTCACAACACCTGACAGCTGTGACTTATTGAAGAACGCGCCACCGAGGATAGAGAGGGAGGCCAAAGCGAGTCCGTTAAGTATGAAGTAAAGAAGTACAATGGCGACGCTCGTATCCGCCCAGACTCCTCGCGCAATTATGATAGACCCAATTACCCATCCCGGAAGATAAACTGTGGTGAAGGCAATATGGTAGGAGAGGAGTCTTGCGACTTGGGGTTCCCATCGGTACTTGGTGGGCATCATGGCGTCTAGCAACTGAGACATACCTATTTCTCTTTCAGTCGCCATGTGGCCTGTCATATGG